CCTATTAGTCACTAACATATACCAATAGGAAAATGGGTCCCAGGACGGCCCCTGAAGGAACCCCCACTTGGTACATTTTCGCACTTTACACTTTAATGTTTCATTCTTTCACCATGACTCTGTTTTCCCTTCTTTTTTTTTCAGGTACACCTTTAGCCTCTGTAGCAGCGCCCCTGTCATCTCGACCTGACTTTTTTATATCACCTTCCTGTGAGGCTCTGTGTCATAGGTCTTTATGCAGGCCAATAATAATACGTCTGCCTACATTTCTTTTTCCTGTCAAATATCTGTCAACTAGGAATTGGTCCCCTAGTAGGTAATCAAGACAGGATTTACCGTTCTTAAATCCGAGCTGTTTTCGTAGGTTTAAATTCGTGTTTTCGAGGTGTTCAATGATTCTCTATTTTATCCCTGGTATACGTGTTAGAGATAATGGTGTATAGGCAAGAGCTTCATGGCTCTCACCATTGTTTAACGTCGGTGTAATATTGGCTGTCTTCTGTGTGTCTGTTGGCTAAAGTGACTCAAAATAATTGGGCAAGACTTACTTCTTTAAGGCTTCCTCTCCCTTCATCAGTGTCCATAGTGTGTGTGTGTGTGTGTGTGTGTGTGTGTGTGTGTGTGTGTGTGTGTGTGTGTGTGTGTGTGTGTGTGTGTGTGTGTGTGTGTATTGCTACGGCTGTGAGGCGGTGAAAGCCATTTATATTTTTGCTTGTTCTCTAAATTTCACAGTAGCTATTGTATAAAATTGGCTGAAATTCGGTAGAAAAAAAATTATTTTTTTCTTGTGAATCAAGAAATTGGATGCTACTTGTGAATCTTCTACGAACACCTTCAGACCAGAGAATAAGTCAAAAAATATTACAATTATGACCTGTTCCTGGCTGCTTCATATGGGGGCTCAGATTAATGTTAGAAATGTACTTTAAGACACCAGAGCAGCTTCCCATTTTCGTGTATTTTTACCACAGTTTCTGGGAAAGCCATTCTGAAGGAGTCTCCCTCCTTGTATATAATTAATATTATGGTATTATTGCAGTCGTAGGTTAGAGATTTACATGAATTGTAAATCATGTTTGGGTTAGCTTGAGGTTATCTTGAGATGATTTCGGGGCTTTTTTTTTAGTGTCCCCGCGGCCCGGTCCTCGACCAGGCCTCCACCCCCAGGAAACAGCCCATGACAGCTGACTAACTCCCAGGTACCTATTTTACTGCTAGGTAACAAATAAGGGGTGGCTATAAATAGGAGCTGCGTGGCACAGGCCAATAGGTTTTCTACCGTTTTATTTTCCTAATGGTAAAAAAAAAGGGTAGTGTAGGTATAGAGATTCATGAAGGTAGCTTATCTATTAGTGCCTATGCTAGAGAAATACGATAATATCTAGGCCTAAGGGACAAGCACTTAAATAAAATTGAAACTTAGAGCTGAATATCCTAACTGGCTCATGTTCCGGGCCCGAGGTTCAATTCCCCGATAAGACCCACGATAAAAGTTTGAGATATCTAAAAAGTCCGTGAAGCGAGATCTAACTCCTGGGCTCCATCTTCTGGCTATTGGAAAATGAATATGGCTGCTCGGGATTAGTATGGCACCGTTGCCTGCTCGAGTGAGTATGGCAACGTTGCTTGCTCGAGTATGGCACCGTTGCCTGCTCGAGTGAGTATGGCAACGTTGCTTGCTCGAGTATGGCACCGTTGCTTGCTCGAGTATGGCACCGTTGCTTGCTCGAGTATGGCACCGTTGCTTGCTCGAGTATGGCACCGTTGCTTGCTCGAGTGAGTATGGCAACGTTGCTTGCTCGAATATGGCACCATTGCTTGCTCGAGTATGGCACCATTGCTTGCTCGAGTATGGCAACGTTGCTTGCTCGAGTATGGCAACGTTGCTTGCTCGAGTATGGCACCGTTGCTTGCTCGAGTGAGTATGGCAACGTTGCTTGCTCGAGTATGGCACCGTTGCTTGCTCGAGTATGGCACCGTTGCTTGCTCGAGTGAGTATAGCAACGTTGCTTGCTCGAGTATGGCACCATTGCCTGCTCCATTGAGTGTGGCACCGTTGCCTGCTCGAGTGAATATGGCACCGTTGCTTGCTCGAGTGAGTATGGCACCGTTGCCTGCTCGAGTGAGTATGGCACCGTTGCCTGCTCGAGTGAGTATGGCACCGTTGCCTGCTCGAGTGAGTATGGCACCGTTGCCTGCTCGAATGAGTGTGGCACCGTTGCCTGCTCGAGTGAGTATGGCACCGTTGCCTGCTCGAATGAGTGTGGCACCGTTGCCTCCTCGAGTAAGTATGGCAGCGTTGCCTGCTCGAGTGAGTATGGCACCATTGTCGTGATCTTTACCACTGGCAATAATGAGGACACTCCAAGAAGCGTCATATTTGGGTCTAAAACTTTCTCTGTGATTCCTGGCGTCGTATTCAGTATCGTCTTCTGCTTGACCGTTGCAACCGGTAATTGTTGCATTAGTTGATTGTTACAATAGTTGGCGCTTTCATCATTTGATTGTTGCATCAGAGGACGGCTACGTCATATGACAGTTGCAACAGTTGGCTTTTGCACTAGTTGATTGTTGCATTAGTTGACTGTGGGAGCTGTTGATTGTTGCATCAGTTAACTGTTGCAAGATTGGATTGTTGGAGTAGCTGATTGTGGCAGCCGTTGATTATCGCAATAATTGACTGGTGTAGCAGTTGACTGTTGATTCATTTTACAATTGCAATAGTTGATTGTTGTAATAATTGTGTAAAAATGGTGCTTCAGCAGATGACTGTAGCTTTTAACTGTTGAATGGTGGACTGTTACATCAGTTAAATGCAGCAGTTTTATTGCAGGAGTTTATTGATTCAGTAACTGA